CGAGCCAGGCTGCGAGTCGGTCTCTGTGGTCGTAGATGTACCAGCGACGGAACCCGTCGGGTTGCACAGCGTGCATCAGCTGGGATTTCGAGTTGTACGTGAACCGGATGTCTCGGGTCTGACGAACACGACCGTCCGAGTCGTATCTAAAATAGAAAATATAGGAACAAAGAAATTAGCGCCTCATTGTTTCAATCAACAGCAGGGATAAATTATTGTCATTGAACGCAGATACGAGCAAGATTTTCGAGAGTAGCAGCGACCTCTTCAAACAGACACTAGCAACAAAATCCAAAATTTCTCGAACACCTTTCAAAGAGTGCACTTTCTCCCGTATTTATTCTAATACCGCAGAAATTAAAATTTTTTGGCTATGCAATTTAGATAAATATGAATAAAAGCCACTTTTTCTTTTCATTAAAAAACTTTTCTTCCATCTTGCATTCCTCTCATGAGATTAGCATTTGAGATTTCTGAAAACAAAAAGATCCACTCTACCTGGATTTTTTGCAACATAGGCCTTCTCAACCAAAATGCATGTCAATGACCTCAGGTCGAATGGAGATGCACATGTATGCAAAAAAAAAATCCGGACTTTGCCAAAAGAGGGATAGGAGGCTGCTGCTGTCAAATTTATTTCTGCTTAGCCTGTTTGGAAGTTTCCCGTTAAAAGAATTTTGTCATTATAGTTGATCCTGGGAGTAGCAGTGACCTCTTCTAACAGACTCCAGCCATCCATCCCATCAGAAGAATTTTTCATTACAGTTGATTCTAATGGGAAACTTTTGAACAGGCTAAGCAGAAAAGTTTAAATACAGTAAAATGCAAAATTCAATTTATTTAAACTTTTTCAGTCTATGCCTGCTTGTCACATGTACCCCCTTTTTCCCTTTCAAATTTGAGAAAAAGGATGGAAGTGCTTGTAGTCATAATAACAACCACAGCACCCCTCACATTCTGTACAACCCTTTTAAGCTACTGTATTTCTGCTATGCTTGGCTGCGCCTGGTGGGCTAGCAATTATATTTCTCAATCCCATTGTTGACAGAATCCTTTCCCAACCTTGCTCATGCTTCTGTCCTTTTAAATAAACAAAGTGTGACATCCCCAATCCAAATCAGTTTCTATGCGTGTTCCTTGACCTTGGCTGGCCAAAGCTATATAAACAAGTGTATTTTATGTTGTGTTAAGTTTACCACACCAGACTCTGACCAAATGCCTTGTCCACATTGCTTTGCTCCGCAGCAACTGTATTGTATTTACTGTGTGACAAATATAGTAAAAATCTACTTTATATACTCTCACAGAGTAACTTTTGTGTTTACTTTGGAAGTTGCGGAAAATCCTTTAAATCTCTGATTTCATTCCTCAGCTATGAACTAAAGGTTTGACAGCAACTGATCATTGCTGGTCATCTAACTGTCATTGTAGTTTCGGATAACATGCTATGCAAAGAAATATGTTGGATGTGAATTCCACTTTTTGAAGAAATTTTATTGCATTACTATAAAGGGAAGAAAGATGTTATTTACCGATTCCAAACGTGTTCGCCAAAGTCAGTGAGCCGATCTGCCTTGTCATAACTCAGCATCCAAGTCTCTCCTTCCTCAGCGATCCTCACGCAATTGCCATTAGCATCGTACGAGTACTCAAATGACCGCCGGCCCTTCACAAAACGCAAATGCCCATCGGCATCGTATCCCAACTGTTCCTGCCTCGTAGACCGCCCAACAGTCACTCGACTCTCCGCAATTCGATTCCCAGCATCGTAATTGAGCTTCATTTCAAAGACCTGCTTGTCGTTGATGACAAAGGCGACGGATTTCAGGTCTCCATAAGGCCCGTTGGAATACGTGGCCCTGAACCCACGGACTCCATTGCCATCCGTGACGTAGGTGTTCATTTTGTCTCGGTAGTCAAACTTGAGACCTGCGACAGTGTCAAGAATGCCAGTGTGGGCGTCCATTTTTAGCAACAAAGGCGCCGTGTCTTTGCCGCCAACGTTGAGTTGCGACCGGATGAGTCGCCCGTGTCCGTCGTATTGATACTGGAAAGAATAGCTTTCCAGGTCATCATTGGCACGGAAATCCGCACTTTCTTCTTTCACCAGCCCGGATTGGTACTTGTAATCAGTGAGGAACTTCTGAGCCTTTTCCAGATGGGTCACGGTTTTCAGCAGCCCAGTGTCCGGATAATAGGACAATTCTATTTCCGCGTCCCCGAATAAGACTTGCTTCAGGTTGTCGCTCGAGGGGTCGTAGTAGTACTGGACCCGTGACCCGTGTCCGGTTCCGGATGCCTGCAGAACTCGGGCTTTGCCGTCGAACGTGGCGCTGAACGGTGTCGAACCAATCGGGGGTTGGTAGGTGATCCTGTAGAACCCGAAAGATGGACGAATGGCGAACAAGTGGCGACTTCCCAGTGGGGTTTTCACAGCCGACAATCCGCCGCTTTCGTCCCATTCGTACTCGAAAATGCTTCCACCAGGCATCGTCAACTTCATTGGCTGCAAAATCGATATTTTCATGAGACAAATGTAAAACAGGTTATCGGGTTTCAAGAAAATTAATTGCTACGATGATGTCTTCATATTTCGTTGACATAGAAATTATCCGAAATGATGCATACCATATTTACGTGAGAACCACGCGCACCTTTTCTCCAGAATTTAAGGCAGAAAAAAGGGTGTGCCTGGTACCCAGCAGAGATTACATCTTTGAGGAAAATTTTTTGAAAACCCTGCGCATCATATGCGGGTACATTAAAAAAATGTATGAGGATATGCGTGGCGACAAGTATTGTTGCTCATGGGAAATCATAGTTGAAGGGATAGCAATTTTAGGAATCAGTTAAATTTGCGCCAGGAAGTAAAAAAATAGCAGAAGATATGTCTACAGTCGAGGGAGCTGCAGACAGTAAAACGTAGGAAAAACGAAATGTCAATAGGGAAAAATGGATCCACACAAAAAATCACAATTTTGAATCTCAGCAGCAAAAAAAAAAACTGGGGTACGCGTCTTGTCTTACACTGGAACAGGTTTTCAGACGAATTTCTTGCAGAAAAATGGGTGTGACGTGTGGTACTAGAGTAAATATGGTATTTGTATATAGGAACTTTTTTCTGATGGAAAAAACAACACTGAAATAATATTTTGTCCAACTGGAAAAGGAGAAATATAATCTTTGAAATACAATTTTCATTTCTGAAAAGATGGTAAGCAATTTGAAAAGCTAGCATTTTTTATTGAGGTTTAGACTTGGAAATATTGAGGCTTAGACTTAAGGAGGTTTTGATCTTGGGAGATTTTGAGTTAGGGAAATAAGCATTACTGTTGCAAGGAAACATACAAAAATTGAGGAAATTGTAAATGAGGATATTCTGGGCTTTAACTTGCTTCTAAATGAGTTTATAGCATGCTGAACTTGAAGGCAGGGGTTCATTTGCTCAATTATTCTTCCACTTCCTCTCAAGATGCATCAAATCACTTCGTTTATAGCTTTTCTCTTTTATGTTTCAAGAAAATAGTAACAAAGAAGCGTCATCATAAAACTTATGGAGAAAACAGAAAACTTTGACTTTTGGAGGTTTCAGAGAAAAAAAAACTTCAAATTATGGAGGTGTTTAATGCATCGCTTCTAAGGGCATTCAGATGGGACATTAAAAAATGTTTACCCAGGGAGAAATTTGACTTGGGAAGGTTTGACTTATTGAAGTTAAACTGTATATAAATCGTGATTAAATTGGGGAAACAGACATGTTCTTCAAATTCTTAAAACGAGAAGACGGTTGAATTCGCTCACCTGGATTCCAGTAAGGTCATTGGCACCGAATTCAAACCGCGTCGAAGCATTGTTCCCGCTGGAAATTTCAATCAATCTCCCGATCATGTCGTGCTTGAAATCGACAACGTGTCCCGAGCCCCGGGTCCAGCTTTGGATATTGCTGAAAGCGTCGTAGCTCATTTCCACGGGTTTCATGGTGGCAGGCGGTGTCCACAAAACAGGACGTCCATGTTCGTCGTACTTGACAGTGAGGATCTTCTCTTTCCGATCCTGGACACGGATCTCCCGCTCTGAGAGATCGTACTCGAAACTCAGCAGGTCCAATCCGTTGACGCGCATTTGACGGCCCACCACAGCGATGTCGCTGCCGTCGTTTGCAGCAGTCGGTCGACCACCGAGCCTGAAAATCATTCGTTCCTTACATTTTCAACTTTTATTCGACGAACAAAATATTTCTCAACACATTTAGTAAAAACCTGTTCAAAAAGCATCATATGAAACAAAAATTATGACTCCCAAAAGCTTCCGATTAAAACAAATACCCAGCTCAAGGCATATTCAGAGTAAACCTCGATAAACTTTGAAAAAAAAAAAAGAATGCACGGCAGTCTGCCAAGGATTCACTAGAGATAATGCAATACAAAATAGAATTAGAGTCGTCAGGAAATCATTTTTTTCAGATTTTCGATATTCGCAAAACAAAATTTCCCAGTAAATTTACAAAAAACTGCTTGAAAACAAATCCGTACCTCGAGAATATTTTTGAGAGATCCCTAAAGCTTCCGGATTTACTGCACATCATTCATTAAATTAGGCTTTGAAAAAATACGCAAAGCCGTCTGGAAAAATTTACTCAACCTCGCGTAACTCAAGAAAAACTAGCTTATTCAGACTAAAATCCAACATGGTGTATTTGATTTAATCTAAGTACTTCTGAGTGATCTGGAGTGTTGCCGATAGACTCACAGATAACAGCTATACACGCATTGCAAGTACCGTACACCTGTATATATGTTTCGAGATAGTACAAAAAGCGAGGAATTCGCCAAATATTCATTCAGAATTATCCATTAAATTTAAATTGGAACAGGAGCACTTTCAATGTGCTTTCCTCCATCATCACTGTTCACGTGATCCTCAAGATTTAAATTATAGAATTTCAGACATTTTTGAACATATATCGGCTTAACCATTGATTTAACAGGAATCCAAAAAAAAAAATGCAAAATTATCTAATGGAGGGCAGGAAATAGCGTGATACCAGTCATTTACATTTAAATTTAACGTTAATTTTTTTAGATCGAGTACCCGATGTCCATTCTAACTTTTTTTTTTCTTACCGACAGAATATAAGCATGAACGTGCACATGGAAAATGTGAATACTGTCTATGTACATAAATAAAATAGACTATGAAATATTTACCTAGAGAAATATCGCCATTCAAAGGAGTTGACAAGTTCTCCACCGACGATGACTCGTTGCACAGCAGGAACTGGGAAGTTGTTGGCGAGCAGAGGATCCTTGTTGGATAGAACATTCGACGGAACCACTTCCGTCATGAACTCGTTTTCAAACGCCGTTTTCGACACAACGCTTCCGTCTGGATTCTTGGAAAATGTGTCTCTCATTTCGCTTCCATCGCCTGCAAAACAAAAAATTAGAAAATATTCTAAATTACTTTCCACTTAAATAATTTAAATTCCAAAAAGGAAAACACATGATCAAGAAACAAGTTATCTAGCAACTGCGGATTAAAAAAGAAAAAAATAATTTCAAAATCCTGTGTATAAATTATAGGGAAAATATATTCATCCAAAGCACAATAACCAAAAATATCTTCTTGTTCTAGGCGGAACCTAATCGGCATATAAAATCTGTCGTAAAAATAGCATTGTGTAACACAAAGATAATGCAGTTTAATTGAAGTTTGAAGAACATAAAAATGATACTTATAGGCAATTTTGGCACCTTTCCACTTGAAATCTGAAGTAAAGGACTTCCCGATTTTTGTTGTCACATATGACCTGCATTCCACATCCTAAGAATTGAACTTTCAAAATATTTAGGATTCTCACAAATTAGTAAAAGGAACTCCCACAAATTAATAAAAAGGTAGTCTGCTCCCAAATCTTAGAGGACCCAGGAATAAGTGTCAGCTTCATATGATTTATTCTTAAAGATTCTTCCTAAATTTCTGAATTTAATGAAAAACTACATGAAAACAGGCTCAACACCTCGTGCTTTGATTTGTGCCCAGTTATTGCCCTTTAATGCTATTTTTGCTATTCTTAGAAAAAAATGTGAAAATTCCTTATTCCTACATTTGTTATATACAGTACTGTACTGTGATGTATTTTCTGTCAATGCACTGTATAGTGAATTATTTTCGATGAGACAGAATGTGTCGAATGTATGTGTGAGGGGATCAGGAACATTTTGTGAACCAAGTGAACACGACAAACAACAAATAAAGTTTGTACATCAATCCATGAGCATAGGTACTGCCAAATTTCATAAAACTTTCCATAGTGGCTATTTTTGTTTTATTTCTTCAAGATAAAAACTGTATAAATAAATTTTAAGTCAAATAATGATGAAAACCTGCTCTGGGGAAAAAAAATCCAAGGCGCTGCAGTGAAGGGCCTCAATTTAATCAAGACATATGAGATGACCCAAGCTTTATTTTTTGTTTTCTGTGCGTAAAGTTTGAGAATCAACTGGGAACTGATCCCGGATTGACTCTGAAAAGGTCACTGCTGAAGACTTGCAGAGAGAATTTGACCTTTACCCTCGAGGACGGTGACGACAGAGCCATGAACAACGTATTGCTTGGCCGGACGTCCGTCTCGAGCCATGGACACCACTGCACCTTCAGAGCCCAGGTCGAATTCCAGTCGATACGTGTGACCCGTGGCGGTGACGAGTGACGTGAGGCGTCCGTCGCGGTCGTAGCCGTACTTGTAGGCATCCCCGACAGCGTCGACTTTCTCTGCCAACAGTCCACTCGGGCCCACGTAGGAAAACGTCACGTTCGTCGAGTCTGGCCACACGAAGGACTCCAGAAGCCCAATGCGAGACGTCGACACCATGAATTTCTGACTTTGCGCGTTTTCGATGGCGGAAACTCGGCTGCCATACCTGGAAAAATAATGACGGCATTTTTTTTGTCAGGCATAAAATTAAACAGTTAAACAACGAAACAAGATGCAGGCCTCTGAAATAATCCTTAATGCAAAATATGGGCACCGTTTCCTCTCAAAGATGATAATTATGAGAGCATGCCAATTTTCATCGAGAGGATTTTTGCGGATGATCTAATGTATGGGAAAATAAATAAAAAATACTGTGCAGATAATATGGAGTTTCGAATTCAAAGTTAAAATCTCTTTGTCTTCTAGAAAATTTCATTGTTGCAAATTTCAAAAAGAAGGAAGATCCAGAAAATTCGAAAATTCTCACCCTCGCAGAACTTTGATGGTATTTCCAGCAGAGTCTGTGACAGTGCTAAGTTTCCCAGTGCTTGTATTGACATTGTAACCGAAAGTGTACTTGGTTTTTCCTGTGACTAAATTCTTCGTTCGAATGTGTTGACCGAATCTGGAAAAAATTGAAAAATCAATTCCTCAGTATCAGAAGTCGAAGTCAAACCGAGTGAGAAATTTTGAAACCCGGCGAAGAGGACAAAATCGAAAATGTGCTCTTCTGGAAATCTTGAAAAATATTTTAAACTCAAAAAAGTCACTTATAATTAATAATTGTTTTGTTTTACATTAAATTGTAGGATCCCAAAGCATCTTAGTTTTCAATCGCTAACATTTCAGCCTTAGAGAATTGGAGACTTGGAATTTTCAACAGAGAGGCATTTCTAAATGGAAATAATTCCTGCTTTGAAAAAAAACGAGAAGATGATGCCAGAAATATAAATTATTTCAAAATAAATCGTAGCTAATTTATTCTCAGATTGACATTACATCAGAATAAAATTGAATGAAAATTGTTTTCGTCGGCGATCAGACGTTGAGATGACAAAGTGTCCGTCTTTTTTTTTTTTTTTTTTTTTTTTTTAAACTTGCAAATCAATTAACATCGCCGGTTGAAATTTATTCGTAATAATGGAATTGAGAAGATTTATTTTTTTCATTTCGAACGAAATAATTGTTTTTCTTTTGTGCTGATGAATTCAAAATTACCGATTGAAAACGTAGGCTTCGTGAACTTCAGGAGCAAACAGGACATATTCGTTGGTGGCAGTCGCAGGCGGCAAACTGCTGGTGACTGATCGAATTTTGGCATTCCCTTGGTCAGCAATATGCAGCACTCCGTCGGGAGTGACAGCAATGGCTGTCACAGTGCCGAATACAGTTGTCAGTGCCAAGTAATCGTTGCCGGATTCTGCATGCAACGCAGGGATCGACACTGTCGATGATCCCGACGACGACACTGGCTTACTGTTGGGTCCAATTTCGCCAGCAAACGAAGAAATGGTTCCGTCGGATTTAATGACACGGACGCGATTAACTCGCTGTCCGTCGCTTTCGGCAACGTACAAATCGCCGGAGGGGGAAAATGCCATTGATTGCGGCTGGGTTAGGATTGCGTGCGACGCCTTCTGGCTTCCTTTCTTCCGGCTGCCTGGACTCTGAACATCCGGAAAGAAATTTGAAATATAGGTAATTCGAAATTCGTTTTCTAATTTTTTTTATTTACTCCCCATACTGCATATTTTTTCATAAATCTCCGATTTTTGTTGTGGTTGCATTACTGCAGGTTCGAAATTTTCTCGCCATGGTTGATGTGATTTAGTGAATTATTTTTAATTCACGAGATTTTTTTCCCTCCCTAAAAATAATACCCAATCTACGATCTTTCCTTTCTATAAAAGATTATTATTGATCGATTCTGTTCATGCTATAGTTCATACGATGAACTCGGAAAATTTAGGTTTGCATTTTCAGTTGCAAAAACAGAAATTGCAGAATTTTGAAGTTCTAACTGAAAAATGAAACAAAAATTGCGCCTCTGGTTCTCGCAGAATTAATTACCCGCTAGCAAAAAATTGCAAAACAAAACTTCCCAATCCAGAATGAACATTTTGAAATTCTTGCAAGTGCAAAAAATAGGCGTGGGCTGATTTTTAGAATTTTACATATTATCCGAACACATTAACACGAATCATTTTACTGCACGGCAGTCAAAAATGAGATTAATTTCTTGGGCGTTTCCGTGCCAAAAACGAAGAATTTTGGGAAAACATCCGATAATCCAGCATAAAACGGAAATTATGTCAACTTACATCACTGTTTCTCGGGCAATGGAGTGGTTGACCTCCCACAGTTTGAACTTGTTTATCCTTTGTGATCCTCAGAACGAGATGGTCATCGATGAAGTACAGAGAGTCATCAAGAGGGTTCACTGCTAATTCAGTCGGCCATCGCAAAGTCACCTAGAAAACCACAATGATTGATTAAAATATAGATAAAATAATTGCCAATCTACTGTGGCGATGATGACTTCTGCTTTCCTAGGATTCCCTTTATATGTTCCCCAGCGAATACAACTACTGATCCTATATAGACTTACACCCCACAGGATCCCCCACCCTGCTCTGGTGAAAAAAAACCGGAAATGATCGAATGACTATAGAGAGGAAGAGAGATGGAAATTGCTTATAGTACCTGGGATACTTCGTCAGTTCCGGAGCAGGGCATCGGCTTCCAGTGTGACTTGTGCGAATGGTCTCCGATGAGCGTGAAGATGATTCCATCGGGATCCACGACCCGAATGTTGGTCCCGTCGGCAATGTAGATCAAACCCGAGCTGGAGATGGCGAGTCCTGCAACAGAGAGTGAGAGAGAGAAATGGCATGAAAGTCCGGGCTTCTCGTCGGGTGCTGGGGGGAAAGCCAGCGCATCAGAGAAAAACCACTCTCACAGTCGCGAAATAGTAAAGTTGTTCTGCACAGGACTTCCAAGCAAATATTTTCAGAATTTCTTTCAAATAATATCACCTGTATTATTTTTTTAATAAGGGCGGGTGATGGGGAAGCCAGCAGAGAAAAACCAATTTCACAGTCGCGAATTAGTAAAGTTCGTCTGCAGAGGAATTTCAGGCAAATACATTTTTATAATCAAATAAAATTACCTGTATTATCCATTTAAAAAAATGATTGTTGGGTATAGGGAAGCCAGCAGAGAAAAACCATTCTCACAGTCGCAAAATAGTGAAATTGGTCTTCACAGGACTTCCATGCAAATATTAAAAAAAAAAGAATATTCTAAATAAAAGCGACAGGGTGGAGAAGCCAGCAGAGAAAAATCAATCACACAGTCGCAGAATAGTGAAACTGTGCTGCACAGGATACAGTATATGACTTTCACGAAAAAAACATTCTTTAAAAGTTATTCGTAAGATTACTCATAGAAATCTCCAGAATTTTAATTAACGTTGGATCTCTTTGTGAAGAACACATTCCGTCATCTTAAAAAATTTGTATCCTTTATTGGTGGCATCCCATGTACAGATTCTGTGAAATAAAACCCTTTGGAACATCTCATGCTGCGTCTCTGAACAAAAATTAAGAGGAATCCATGTTGGTATATATTATACAGTAAAAGTCTTTCGCAATTAATCTTGTTATGAAGAAGTTTTTCTTAAAAATTATTTTTCTAGAAATAGAAATCCAACGCTGACGATGTAAAACGTGTTACTGAATGTTGAAGATATCATTAAAGTTTGAATATTTCAACAAGTGTGCTTTGATCAGCAAGAAAGATCAGTTCAAGACCAGCATCGTCGTTCTGAACGTGCTCAAGGGATCGCATAGTTCAGCGAGAAAATCAGGAAATACAAAAAAGGAAATTTAGTCCGGATTGGAAAAATTTTGAGCAAACTTGAATCAGAAAATATCTTTTTTTTTTTCAACGGAGGAAATACCGCATACGAAGATATTCCTTACGCATTAATGCTTCTTATTTCGAACCATTTACTCAGAAAAGTGGATATTCCAACAGTAGTTTTTCGAAAATATTTCAGCTGGTCTTGAAAAAAGTTGGTGAGATGGCAACCTTTTGATAAATCTCATGAATGTTATAGAAAAATTTATCATTTTGTATACTGTAATACACAAAATCTTCAAAACATAAAAACGTAAAAGTGGTTCGCCTGAAGGAATTGTCTGCTTTTATTTGAAAATGGCGAACCCTTCTCTTTTCGGTCAAGTGATATAAAAGAAAATTCAGGATACTCTCTCTCTCTCTGATGTATTCTAAATAAAATAAAATAAAAGACAGTTTTTCTCGGATGCCCACAGTCCTCGAGAACAGCTGTCCTGGAAAGGAAATCGATAGCAAGGAACACTGGGTTGCGCCAGCGGCAGCGGAAATAATCGGAGGAACTAATCAGATCCCGTCGGGGTTGCGCTCAATCCCCGGCGACAATGATCACCATACCCGCGACGCGACGTCCTCACTGCGGAAGCAACCGCAATAAAAGGATCCCCAGAACCTTTCTCTCTCTCTCTCTCTCTTCTTTTGGCCTAGCTATCTTTCCTATCTCAATCCCCACGCGATCCCCGGATAAGAACCTCCTTGCCCTGAATTAAGAGCAATATCGCTGTCACGCACAGGACTCAAAAACTGCTTCGACTGCTAAGGTGGTCGGGTTGCAGCTCCAGTAGGTCCAAGCACAACTTCTCAGATCACATTTGATCATCTTTTTTCCTAATTTCTGGCGCAGGCTTCGAGCAAAAAGTAAGTACAGAAAAACTGATGGTAATGTTTGATTCTAGTCCAAGCAATGAACCTATTTTCTCTCGAATGAACAACACGAAGGAAAGCAGGAATGAAAAAATCTTGAAACATCAAGACTCACTAAAAATTCAGAAAAGGATTAAAATATTTGACCTAACGCAACTAACAAGGGCCAAATATTACATTATAGGCAAACATTTCATCAATATACCGTTATTAGCTTTTATAGGCCGTGCCAAAACCTCAGATTATTGTGAAAGGCGTCCCTGCCCCCCAAACATCGGAATTCTTGAAGAAGTAATTTTAAAAAGCTTTGCCACATTTAAACATTTTCAAGTAAAATTCTCAGCTACACCGAAACTTCAGATTTTGAACAGTTAGTTTTTATTAATCTCCGAAGCACTGAATTTCTAAAGTACAGTATCTCAATATATCTCCGGAGAACATTTTTGTAATCTGTAAAAATCAGGCTCGTATTCGTATTGTCAATCTAATATTCCGCCGCGTTTATAAAAAATAAACTGCACTCTTCAAGAAAATGATACGTTCTAAAAAAAATCGCAGTTTTTCGAAGCATGAGCAGGTTGAGTTCACTGAACGTTTCTTCGAGTGAAAATCTGATTAGAAACGATTGAAGATTATAAAACCTATTACGTTTCCAACAAGACAAATGAAAAAGCCTCGCAAATGTGCCGCATTTCACAATACTGATTCATGCTCACATTTATTAAGTACATTTTAATGGATACATGTGGGAAATATAACAACG